CTTGAGGGTTCGACTCCGTGCTCGCCAGAGTTTGGCTGCACACTTTCTCTTGTTTGCTTTTTTTGTCACTTTTCCCTGTCATGAGGCCTTTGCACAGCTTGCAGAAAACGGACTCCTCTACAGCACCAATCGCCTGCTGGACAGGGCATCCCGGCACTCTTCAGCACCCACTTATTTCTTGAGAGATGACAATGTGCTTGTGTGCTCGTTTTCCGGTCCTTCTGGCGCTCTTCGGGGGAACTTCATGCGGGTTGTCAGCTGAGGTGAAGCCGCTGCTTTTCGCTTGCCTTCTCAACAAGGATCTTCGCATGTATCCGCTGATACGGCGGGTTGGTGCCATCAGCCTCTGCAAGTTCATGACAGTGCCCTTGAAGCAAGCAGCCAAATCACGTCAGAGGTCTGTTCAGGAAATATGAGCACTGGATTACAAAACTGGACTGCCCATGAGGCCTCGGCGCCGTAGTCGAATTCCAGTAATGCACGAAACTCTTTAATTTTCGCAGACTCGCTCTGGCCTTCTCCAAGGCTTGAGGAGACTGGGGCCCTTTGTTCGGATTTGCCGCAGTGAATGAGATCCCATGGCCCCTAAACACCCAGGCCATGCCCTAAACCAGATAGACCCTAAAAAAAATCCAGGTGTCGAAGCGCTTCTGCCAGGAGTCCGCCGGGGGACAGGGTCAGAGCATTCCCCCACCCCGTCGTGCACGCTCTTTTTGCCTTCTTGTGGTTAACATGTCTCGTTTTGCTACTGAAGATTGTATTCCATGACTAAACACAGAATGAAGACTAGGTCCTAGGTTCGAAGAGAACCGATTAGACTAGACTAGATTTGGGCCGAACAGAATAAATTGAAGCCATAAGTGCGAAGGTACAGTCTCGTTTACTCCTTGTGTAGTCGTCGCCACAATATGTGGACTTCTAGTACGATCTTGCTCTTCTCTGGTAAACCGAGACCAAGACCGCCAGCCCTGAGCTTTCGACTGTGGAGCGTCCTTTCAGGAGAACTTGCAGCTGCTTTTCTCTGTGCTGTTCCCGAAGTCGGGCAAGGGCCAGCTGAGCGGGGCAGCGGCTGAGGACAAGGGTTCAGGGCGCTCGCACGGGTCTGACACTCGCTACCCCAATCTGTGTAACTGCAGCCCGGTCGAGACCGACTACAAGGTCCCAAAGCAACCCTTGATTCTTCGGGCCGTGGGCTTCGTTAGTCGACCAAATATCTGCACGACACCGGGACGGGAGCAGTGGGGGTTGACCTTCGCGCTAGGATTGTTAGTGCAAACAGACGCATGCCTGCATGTGACACAGACATGTATGGAGGTACAGTAGGTATTTTGGAAGGAATGTAGGAAGGTAGGACGGAAGGAAAGAAGGAAGCAAGGAAAGAAGGAGGGAAGGAAGGAAGGAAGGA